CGGGCCCTCCTGGCTTCCGTTCCACCGAGTCCAGCCGATTCAGGAGGGGCGCGTGTAAATGCACGAGATGAGTTAATTTATACAGAGACGACTATTTTAATAGAACTCCGCAGCCGCCTTCTAGATTTTTACCGTAGGTGCCCTACACGCCGGTGTAGACCGAGGCCGCCGAGACGCGGCCTGGTGTGGGGGAGAAGGGACCCCCACCTTCCGTCTCCAAGAGCCCGGTGTTCTGAAGGGGCAGAGCTGAGCGTCCCCGACGACCCACGTGTGACCTCAAACTTCCCCGTCGTGGGGGGGCCTTGGTTTCCTTACCCTGAAATCAGGCTTCACGCATCTTGGCTTGTCCCCGATGCGCGATAATCGTCCCCCTGGGGGATCTCGGGGTTTTCACCCCCCAGATACCCTCCCCTGGAGGGAGAGACCCACCCTGATGCAGTCAGCTCTCCCACGTGGAAGGCAGAGCTGGGAGGGGGAAGCCCGCATTCCCAGTCCTTTCAGATCCTTAGGTAAAGGCAGAATGTGATTACTGTACGGCCCATGAATAGACGTAAAAGTTATTCATGAGTCTCGTCATTATTTTTATTTAACCCTTGCTTCAACACAAAAACCAACAGGCCAAAACTATAAGGGAGTGAGCATGCAGTTCCACTGCGCGTGTCTGTGGACACAGGCGTGCTTCACAAGTACATCAACAGGCTCTTACACGCCCCTGACCTCTATGAACTCTTGATAACACCAAGAATAGCACCTTCCGAATATACTGAGTAGGCATTAAATGCAAAAATATGTATATAGTCAGAGATTTTATGAGAATGACCTGTCAAGCTTAATTACATGGCAAAATTCCTCTGGCCCACACGGATCTGTAATTCACTAGGCTTGTGTTTGCTACAGGTAGCGCTAATAAAGATAGTTACATTGCATGTGCAATATCGAGACCTGTCAATGGACTGCACCTTGTGGAAGAAAACTGCTAAGAGGATGAAATGACAATTGTGTGTACATTTTAAGCATCTTCTACATAGCAAGAAAATTTCACATGAACATGTCATGTGTATAACAGGTATGCAGAAACCCTTTCATAAAGCACCAGCAATGTTTAAAAATAAACTTCCATTATTTTTAGTTTTATGTTTTTTGCTTGAAGATATCACCATTTAAAAATCCTAGCATGACTCTGAACTGGATTGATGCATGAGTCACCGTGTTTCAGATTGCTCCACATTATAAACACTGCATCATTCTGCTGTTTTTTCAAAAATGGTTTATTTCTGCCCCCTCACTCCCTATCCCTTTTATCCTTTTAAAAGTCCTATTTCTGCCCCCTCACCCCCTACCCCTTTTATCCTTTTAAAAGTCCTATTTCTGCCCCCTCACCCCCTACCCCTTTTATCCTTTTAAAAGTCCTATCAGCCCTGTTTCGGCCTTTCTAAATGGAAAGGGGTTTTTAATTCATCATTCTAGAATCAAAATATATCTAAACAGACTGCTCTCAAATTGTGAGCTCATCTTTTGCCAACCCTGTGTCACTTAGTGAGGACTTCAGGTCCTCAGGGAACCTTCAGGGTGTCAATTGACCTTATTTAAAATTTTGCAAATTTAGGAGCATGTGTCATGCAGCGATGAGACCGGATCCTGAGAAGGACACCCACACCGCTATGCTGCACTTAGCTATACCTCATTCACAGCTCCTCGTGAGAGTGTGTGCACACATAAAATAAGCCAAGGGTATTACTTTGTCATGAGTCTCGTAATTAAACGGTGATTCTTGGAAGATGTAGGTCTGACTAGTAGGAAATATCACTGACATTTTTCAATAAAGTACCACAAAATGCTTCTGCGTCTACTTTGTTATTAACTTTTGCGGTTGTATTTAGTAAATACAAATCATGAAGGCTATTGGAGCAGTTTAATAACCAAGGTTACTGTTGAGAAAAAAAAGACTATTGTAGATTTACAAATGACAATGTGGATAGGCTTAACAAAGAATGTATATGTTCTTGAAAAATATAATGTGGACTAGCGTAATGTGGACTAGCGAAAACTTCCTTGTCTAAACAAACATCACAGTTTTCATAGCCTAGAACAAGATGGAAGATTCTGACACACGCTGGCTTCAGGACGGCCAGGGGCTCAATGCAAAGTTAACGGAGCAGTTACCATGGCAACCTAATATTGTTACCTCCATCTTTGAGTCTGCACATTTAAGCTGGGGATATCGTTTCTTGATTTCTGTGAGGCTCTGGGAGGGGAAGAGGAAGCATTTTAATAAATATGCCCCTCTTTCACAAGAAAAAGAAAAAAAATCATAGTGGGCCTTAACACGTACCATGTTGACAAAAATGCCAGATCAAATGGATTTGAGAAATAAGCTGAATTCAAGACTGGCTGGGCCCTCCACAGGGCCTCCTAGGGAAAGGAATTCCTTTATGTTCTTGGAAGCCCTTTTCTAGAAAAGCCATTCCATTCATACCTTTGTAGAGGAGGGAACTGGGTGTGAAGGGCAGCCAAGGAAATCTGTAGGAGCTTGTATTTTCTGCCCCCTCACCCCCCACCCCTTTTATCCTTTTAAAAGTCCTATCAGCCCTGTCTTCCTCCCTCCCACCCTAAAGGCGGGGGAGGTTCCACACCGTCAGTGGATCCTGCAAAAAGTCTACCCAAGTTTTAACTTCTTGAAACTGAAAGACAGTGAAGGCAGGCTATCGGGGCTGCTGGATTTAAAATGGAATAAAAAGAACATTTGCAAATAAATACCATGAAATCACATTAGCTTGGAATTACAGTGAATTGTAGCCCTTAAGTTACCTACAAGGCATTATTCAAGCTGTTCCTAAACTTAAACATGACATATAAGGTTAAAATTTTTTGGGAGAGGGGACTGATAAGCAGCAAAAAAGGTCAAGCTGTTTTCACAAAAGAATAAGGAGAAAATTGTAAAAACACAATCTAGAAGTTGTTATGTTAACTATTTCTCACTTCAGATAAAAGGTTTTTATACTTGTCGGTTTTGTTAACTTTCATTCTTTGGAGTAATAAGATCTCTTTTTTGTGTGATGCCTCATACATTTGTCAAAAATACATTGGAAAAAACCAAAAAACACCTGGCTTCTTAATACTTGGAAATACATACATATTCCTTACTATGTAAACATTTTATTTATTTTGTAAAAATATCTTTAAATATGAATAAAAATACTGTAACCAAAAGTAGTCGCCTATTTTTAAAAATGAAACTTGTGGTAAAAATAAGAGTGAGCCCAAACCGTAAAGAAAGTCTTAAAGTTTATTTTGGTAGACTTGCTTTTTATAGGCATTGGTTTAAAGTGATTCTTTTGAGAGACATTCTATGAAAAGCTAAAAACGCAAAGGTTTACACTTTTTCAAATTTCAAATATACGTAGTAATTACCCAGGAATAAGGATTCTCCATTTCCTGCCTATGGAGAGCTAAGAGTCTGGAGAATGGGAGCCTGCCACGCCTCCCTGTTGCATTCTGAACTGTGGGGTGAAGCTGGCTTCTCTGCCCATCCCAGACTCCAGGGTGAGAGATGACCATGTTGCTAACGTCACGGGTGGAAACCTCTGTAGGCTGTGCCCTTCGGCCTGACCAGTGGGCCCCCACTTGAGTCTGTGCACCCACCCCCTCACTCCCACCTCAGCCAGGCCCCTGGCTCCCACTTCGGTGACGTCAGTGTTCCTGTAGTGATTTTACATCGGACATGAATCCTTCCGACTTCCACCATGCTGAGCCCGTGTTCCCAGTGCACTGCTGCAGCAGCGGGGGGTGGGGAGGAGTGCAGGAGGGTGGCACCGGAAGCCCAGTTATTGCTGTGTCCTATTTGAGGGTACACTTCCCCTTGAAACCTGCTACCAGCCGGGAAGGGAAGATACCTCGCCTTTTAAACTGGGAGATAATTCAATATTCTAAAAGCGCATGCCGATCCTGAGTTTAGTGGCCATGTTTTAAAGATTATAAGGAAAATGCAAAGTTTCTGTTAAGACTTTAAAGCTCCTTGAGGTCACAGATCGCTGGGTGAATAAACGGCCCAAATCCTAAGATATGGTACAGCAGGCAGACAGGTTTCCCTGACGCTAACAGTGCTCAGTAAAATGCTTTTATTCAGCTGTCCTAGATGAAGCAGAGTTGCAAGTCTTTGGTTCACGTGAGGCAAAGTTAGGTTTATGGAAAACGCAGCATCTGCTTCAAGGCCCTTACTCTCCCTCAAGATAAATGGGTCTCCCGCCCACGTAAGAACAGACTGCTCAAAAGCACACAGGCAAAGCAGTATGCCCGGAACATCTCAATATCCCTCGGCAAGGCCACACTTCATTAGTTTTAATTTACAGAAAGGAAATGAAATGATAACATTTTTCCCCAAAGCAGAATGTCCAGAATAGGACTTCAGCTTAAAACAAAACACAGCATGTTTTTCATTAAATAACCCCCCAAAGAAATTCAAAAAGTAATGATGGCAGCTCTGAGAGATGACTTGCCTTATATTACAAAGTTGAGAAATGAAACTTGCATCGTTAGCCTGGAGATCTTTGTCCTTGATGAGATTTTGCAGACGCCCTCTCAAGGGTAAGTCCATTTTGTAATTTTAAGGTGGTGTGGATTTTATTCTATTTAAACTTGTCACTAATTCCAAAAGAAGACTTGGGCATTTAGGAGAGAGTGAGTTTTCTTTTTTTGAGAAAAATAATTCTATTTGAAGCCTTATTTGTAAAAATTACCTCTGAAGTTCTTTTAAAGTTTCATTTTCAAAAAATACATATTGGGGTGGTATATCTAACTAAACATGTTATTTTTTTTTCTTCCTATGGGGCTGTCTGTGCCTGGCTAAAGGTAGACAGATTTTTATACTGAAAACCACAAGTTTCTGGAATTAGCCTGACTGGGTAAGACCTGGATAAAGATGGTGCTAGTTTACAACGAAGGGATTTTGTTCAAAGCTGAAAGCTCCATCAAGCTTTCTTTCCACTAATTTCAGTTGGGACTGGCAGGAAGAGAGAAAAGTGGACAAAAATTGGCCTTTTAAAGCTGAAAAGTAATGGGTATGATTCATAAGTTCAACAGAGATAGGAGTTCCATGGAAAAAGCATGGTGTACATCTGGAAACAGCAAATGTATATCAAAAGGCTTCCTTTCTTTTGTTCTTCCATGGAGACTTTTAGTGCATCAGATTTCGAACGTCTTCTTTTAAGGCTCTGTGTGCTTATACACGCATGCACGCACACACACATTCTCCCTCTGAACTGATGGTATTTGTATCAGTTACATTTTCGTTCTAGGCATTATGAGGAAAGGGGATGAAAAATTATGACTAGCAAATAAAATGCCAAGTACACAATATTCTGTGCACTGCACAGTCTTGCAGGAATGTGCCACATTTCAAAGTGCATCTGAAACTCACTTCAAAGCTCCAAATCCTCCCTTGCGTGTGACATGAGGGTAAGCCTGCATTGCCTGCTGTTAAAACCAAAGCATCCTTGGCCAGCCGCGGTGGCTCACGCCTATAACCTCAGTACTTTGGGAGGCCGAGGTGAGAGGATTGCTTGAGCCCACGGGTGTGAGACCAGCCTGTGCAACATTTTTTTGTAGAGACAACAACCTTGTCTCTACAAAAAAAAAAAAAATTAGTCAGGTGTGCGGGCATGAGCCATTGCGCCTGACCTGGTTTGTCTTATAATAGTCTAGATGTAAAGGTCTCCACTACTGTGAAAATATTTGAATTATCTCATTGTCATTTCCATGAAAACACCCCCTCCCCCAGAAGCATAAATCCAAGTCCTAGAGGGGAGAGCAATTTCACACCTATGAGAGGGTTTAACCTAAATTAAATCTTCTACCCATCAACCCTCTATCCCAGAGCCTCTTCAAACACCAAATAAAATGACAATAAAACAAACCTTAAAAAACAGAATAATAGAAAAAAAATTAAAGTTAACAAATGAATTGGAGGAAGAAAAAAATTCACCTACAACTCTAAATTAGATTTCCAGATGCACAGGCGAGGCCAGGCGGCTGCAACGGAAGCAGAATGCTCACGGCGGTAGTTCTGACTTGGCTTGGACCCCTGGCAGCCCAGTGGCATCCTCGCCTGCTGTGTAAGTGCCAGACCTGGCCAGTCAGTGCGGCAGGCCCAGGCCCGTCTTCGAGGTACCCAGCACTACTGCTGTTTGGGGACGATGAGGTTTCTTAGCATGTCAAAGGAGTTGCCATCGGGGTGTACAGTCACAACCTCGCCGCCCTCCTGATGGACCTGAAGAAACCCAGAATCATCCAGGCCGACTATGGATACCTTTGGCCCCTCAGTGCTTCCCAGCCGGACTTGCTGGCCACTAGAAAGGAAAAATAATGTGCAGTCACTGGAGAGTGTCGTGGGATGGATAAGATAATGAGTTGAGAAATCTATCCATGATGCAGAGGACTGGGGTGCCAGGCAGAAGGCTGAGGCTGGCTATAGTGGAAATACAGCCTGGGCTGGGCTGTGACGTTCCCTGGTTCTGTATAAATTGTTTTAATAAGTACTAAAATAACAAGGTGGGTGGCAAGTCCAACAGGAAGTTGAAATTTCTTCAAAGGATATCACTCCTCTAGTGCTGATCAGCTATGATGATTTGTCTCACTTCCTTACTCCCAGCACTTTTTTTTTTTTTTTTTTTTTGAGACAGGGTCTCACTCTGTTGCCCAGGCTGGAGTACAGTGACATGATCCTGGCTCACTGCCGCCTCCTCCTGGGTTTAAGGAATAATTCTGTCTCAGCATCCCGAATAGCTGGGACTACAGGCATGTGTCACCACGCCTGGCTAATTTTTTTTTATTTTCTGTATAGATGGGGTTTCACTATGTTGCTCAGGCTGGTCTTGAACTCCTTGGCTCAAGCAGTTCTCCTGCCTTTCCCTCCCAAAATGCTGGGATTACAGGAGTAAGCCACCACGCTGGGCCCCAAGCGCTTTAAACTGTGCAACTCTCTAGGTTATTAGGCTGAGACTGGGAAAAGAGGCTGAGTTGGCAAGAAAAGTTTTATCTTTTTTTTTTTTAGTCGGAGTCTCACTCTGTCGCCCAGACGAGAGTGCAGTGGCCGCTCCCAGCCACCGCAGCCTCGACCTGCTGGGCTCCAGCGATCCTTCCACCTCAGCCTTCCGAGTAGCCGGAATTACAGGCACGCGCTACCATACTCGGCTGATTTTTTTAATTTATTGTAGAAATGAGGTCTCGCCAAGTTGCCCAGGCTGGTCTTGAACCAGCGGGCTCAGGCAATCCACTCACCTCAGCCTCTCAAAGTGCGGGATTACAGGCTGAGCCACCGAGGCCGGCTGAAAAGTTTTATTTTATAAAACAAAGTTGAAGCTGGGCTCGGTAGTTCGGCCTGTAATCCTGTGCCTTTGGGAGGCTGAGGTGAGTGGATTGCCTGATCCTGAGGGTTCGAGACCCACCTGGGCAACAAGACCTCATTGCTACAATAAATAAAAAAATCAGCTGGGCGTGGTAGCGCATGCCTGTAATTCCGGCTACTTGGAAGGCTGAGGCGGAAGGATCGCCGGAGTCCAGCAGGTCGAGGCTGTGGTGGCTGGGAGCGGCCACTGCACTCCAGTTTGGGCGACAGAGTGAGACTCCAACTCAAAAAAAACCCCAAAAAACAAAGTTGAGCAGCAACAACTGCAAGTAAAACTCATTTTGATCCTACTTCTTTTGAATATTTTCCAACTGTACTTGTTAAGTTACAGTCTTTTTAATAGCTTTCAAAGTGTAGAATTTTCCTCCAAATTTTTAAAGAATTTCAAATCTACAGAAAAACGGAAAGAATAGTGCAACAAACCTCATATTCCCTTCACTTATATCCGCACCAAATGGTAATATTTTCCATATCTGCTCTCTCTGATCACACCACACACACACTTTTTTTTCTGCCCCATTTAAAAATAAGTTGCGTGCAGTGGCTCATGCCTGTAATCCCCGTACTTTGTGAGGCTGAGGGAGGAAGACTGCTTGAGCCCAGGAGCTCGAGACCAGCATAGGCAACATAGAGAAACCTCATCTCTAAAAATAATAAAATAAATAAATAAATGTTGCAGGCATCCTGACACTTCATGCCTAAATACTTTAGCATGAATACTTTATCTCCTGAGAAACAGGAATAGCCTCCTACAAAACCATAATACTATTATCAGTCTCAAGAAGTTCAATCTTGACATAATAATGCTATTTAGCATACAGTCGTGTTCCTATTTCCCCCACTGTCTTATTACTAACCTTTGTTGCTATTTCCCTCCATTCAGGATCTAAGTGTGGGTCACACACTGCATTTGGTTGTCATGCTTCTTTAGTCTTCTTTAATCCCAAAGAAGTTCCCCACCTTCTTTTTGTTCATTTGTTTGTTTGAAGACCCTGACATTTTGGTATACATCAGTGAGTGGTTCTCAAACTTTCCCTGCAGGAGAACCCCTGGAGTATCTGTTCAGACTCAGAGTGCTGGGCCTCTGCTCCAGTATCTCACTGAGTAAGATCTGGGTTGAGGATCTCACTTTGAGAACCACCGTTATCTAGAATGTTCCATAATTTAGATGTGCCTGATGGTTTCCTCACAATTAGAATCAATTAAACTGATATCAAACTCTCTTATGATATTGTGTTCTTTCCACCACAACCCACCAGGAAACATGTGATACCAGTTTGCCCCACTACCAGCAAAGACAATTTGGTCAAGGTGGTGTCCCCTGGGATTCTCCGCCAGAAAGGTTAAAATTAATTATTCAGACCAGGGCTCAACTCCTCACGTTAAGATATCGAGCCACTGACCTCATAAGGGAATGTTAAAAGAATGAAGAGGAGCCAGCACTGACCTGTGTACCCAATATTTATAGTAAAGAGGGAGAATGCCGTTGGGTCCTTTGTCCTGAAATGTGTCGATCAGTTTTTCCAACATGGTCACGACTCTAGCAATGAGATAATCAGCTCTTAAGGGCTTCAGGTCCACCTTGTGCTGCTTATTGTATTCTGTGATGAGGTCATTGATGCATATAGTAGGGTTACTGTTAGTCACATTAAATCCACAGCCTGGACAAAAACAAACAATTATAACGATGAGCAGCTCATCACATTGATCACAGCATTACACATGTCTCTCCACCAACCGGAAAATGTTACAGTTTCTACTGTCAACTTCCTTCTTTCTTGTCTCACTTCAGATTTAGTGTCTCTGACCACTTAGGGAAGAACACATCTTCCTTTGAGACCACCTTCCTTTCTGTCCTTCCTTTATTATTCTTGTCCAAACTAGGGCCATTTCAACCTTACTGCAAATAAGGAGTTGGAAAAAAGAAAGCCATATTTGATTCAACTTAATTCAACAGAAGCTATTAAATATGGAACGAAACTTTAAGAAGTTGCCTCTCAGCCGGGCTCGGTGGTTCAGCCTGTAACCCCACGCCTGTGGGAGGCTGAGATGAGTGGATTGCCTGCGCCTGCGGATTCGAGACCCGCCTGGGCAGCGAGACCTCATCTCTACAATAAATCAAAAATCAGCCGGGCATGGTAGTGCATGCCTGTAATTCTGGCTACTTGGAAGGCTGAGGCAGAAGGATCGCCGGAGCCCAGCAGGTCAAAGCTGCGGTGGCCGGGAGCGGCCACTGCACTCCAGTCTGGGTGACAGAGTGAGACTCCAACTCAAAAAAAAAAGAAGTTGCCTCTGAAATAACGATACCTCAGTGGTCTGGCCAAGAACTGCATCTCTGCACTGAGCCCAATATAGAATAAAACCTCTTGTTTCTTTTCCTCCTTAAGTAACAGAACACATGCTTGAAAACAGAGAATTTTATTCAGGACTTAAGGAGCAAACTGTGGATTCAGAGATTTCAAACCTTGGTCATGGCATAACCCTAGCACATGTCTTTTAATACTTACTTTATCCTTGGAAGTCTTTGGTACTAAAGTTACGCTGTTGGCAAGAAGCCAACCCATGTTGGGTGGCTATTTTACAGGCGCCTAAACCGAGGCTTCAAGACAGTGAGTTACCAGGAGTGGAGTCTGAATAAGTTTATCTGTGCTGTTACTTAATACTTCCATCCTCTCAGGGAGAGGTCAAAGTCTTCAGAGAAGCAGAAGACTTGGTTTCCAGCAGGGCCCTGAATCAACCTCACAGAGATCTTCAACAAGAAACAAAACACTAAGCAATAAGACAACCAAGTTTTCAGTGCCTCAGACAAAGCAATGACATTTATTTTTTATTTTTTATTTTTTTTGAGTTGGAGTCTCACTCTGTTGCCCAGACTGGAGTGCAGTGGCCGCTCCCGGCCACCGCAGCCTCGACCTGCTGGGCTCTGGCAATCCTTCCACCTCAGTCTTCCAAGTAGCTGGAACTACAGGCGCATGCTACCATGCCTGGCTAATTTTTTATTTATTGTAGAGATGAGGTCTCGCCAAGTTGCCCAGGCGGGTCTTGAACCCATGGGCTCAGGCAACCCACTCACCTCAGCCTCCCAAAGCACGGGATTACAGGTTGAGCCACCGAGCCCGGCTAGCAATGACATTTATAACAACAGCATTCTTTGGCAAATGTTCTGCCATTTTCAGTGTAAAAGGAAAGACTGACTTACCTCAGATTTTTTTTTTTTTAAGTTGGAGTCTCACTCTGTCGCCCAGACTGGAGTGCAGTGGCACGCTCATGGCCACTTTAGCCTCAACCTGCTGGGCTCAGGTGATCCTTCCACCTCAGCCTTCCAATAGCTGGAACTACAGGCACGTGCTACTACACCTGGCTACTTTTTAAATTTATTGTAGAGACAAGGTCTCACCAAGTTGCCCAGGCTGATCTTGAACCCCTGAGCTCAGGCAATCCTCTTGCTTTGGCCTCCCAAAGTGCTGGGATTATAGGCTTGAGTCACCATGCCCAGCTGGCCTCAGATTTTAAAAATATATATACTGGCTATTAAAATACAAAGTAGTGTAAATTACATCTGATAAAAAAAAAGTTAACTATTACAACAGGGACAGGATTTGCAGTTGTTAATTTGTTCATTCAATTAACAACGCAAACAATATCTGACATGCCTATGAAGGTAAGGCATTAAATTAAGTGCTATATAATTGTGAAGCTTCTCCCTTGTATTCAGAAAATTAAAATTTCTAGGGCAAATAGTAACACTGACTACTGTCAACATAGGCTATATCATTCCAAGGACCAGAGAGCAACCCTGCTAGCGACTCTGAATCTCTCCCCGATCCAAAACTCCCTGCACCATACCCCCAACTCCATGGCCTTAAGAATTTCATAAAAGCGGCAGGGCTCTGTGGCTCAGCCTGTAATCCCAGCACTTTGGGAGGCTGAGGCGAGAGGACTGCCTGAGCCAGCGGGTTCGAGACCCACCCGGGCAACTTGGCGAGACCTCGTCTCTACAATAAATCAAAAATTAGCTGTGTGTGGTAGCATGCGCCTGTAGTTCCAGCTACTTGGAAGGCTGAGACGGAAGGATCGCTGGAGCCCAGCAGGTCAAGGCTGTGGTGACCGGGAGTGTGCCACTGCCCTCCAGCCTGGGTGACAGAGTGTGACTCCAACTAAAAAACAAAAAAAGAATTTCATAAAAGCTATGGATTCTCCCCACAGGAAGATGTTTCATTTCCCCCTTGTCAATGAAATTCTTTGGCTCCATGAAGCCATCTGTGGGCCTCCTTGCTATCTGTGTACCCCACTTAGGAATCTCTGTATTGACTCCAATTACTCATTTAAAGATAGGAAATGGGCCGGGCTTGGTGGTTCAGCCTGTAATTCCAGCAATTTGGGAGGCTGAGGCGAGTGGATTGCCTGAGCCGGCAGGTTTGAGACCAACCAGGGCAACTTGGTGAGACCTCATCTCTACAATAAATCAAAAATTAGCTGGGCGTGGTAGCGCGCGCTTGTAGTTCCAGCTACTTGGAAGGCTGAGGCGGAAGGATCGCCGGAGTCCAGCAGGTCGAGGCTGGGGTGGCTGGGAGTGTACCACTGCACACCAGTCTGGGCGACGAAGTGAGACTCCAACTCAAAATAAATAAATAAAAAATAAAAATAAAGACATGAAATGAAGCTTTAAGGGTACAAAGTAGCTTGTTCAGAATAACACTGCCAGTTGGTAGCAGAGCTGGAAACATAAGCCTCGCAGTCCTTGGCTTGTACTTCCAACACATGGGCATGCATAATCTTCCATTACTGATTTCTGAACACCAATTAAGTTCTACCAGGCATAAGGGGGAGGCTGATGGTTGGATGGGTTGGGGCCCAAGGATTTCTGAGATGCTTCTGAATCCATCTCTTTGCTTGATTTGAATGTACTGAGGTGAAATGAGGATTCTTGGTTCTACCCTGACCAGCCTGGAGCATCTCCTGCAGGTTAGAAAGCAGGCAACTAACTCTTCCATGGCCTGGGAGGTCCATGCTAAGAATGCAGCCGGGCTTGGTGGCTCAGCCTGTAATCCCGCACCTTTGGGAGGCTGAGGTGAGT